CAGATTCTTTAACAAATTTGCCCTAAACCAGCACACCATTTTAAAACTGGAAATGGCCTCTCCCAGAATCTGAAGTCAACACAAACCCCATCATCTTCCATTTTAGGTGGCAGTGCACCATTTTGACTTGTCTGCATTAGTATGAACTCATAGCAAAAAGTACAGCTAAAAACATATCCCTGCAGATGACAGTGATATATTTAACATTATATAGCTACATAGACAATCTTGCTTCAGGGGACAGGATAAGAGAAACAATGCACCCCAGGAGACAGATGTTAGTCACATTGATTAGTATGCTACTGGGTGGGATCCTGCTACTGCGAAGATGAGGGTGATGGGAGTTCCTATATAAAGTCAAATAGCTAGAGGACAGACATTTCAACCTGCTTACCCAACCATCTGAGAGAACAGGAAAGGCAGCAATTACAAATTAGCTCTCTCAGTTCCTTGATGCCTGAGGTGGATCAACATTCAGCATCAGCAGGGCAGAGAACACTTGTTAATATTTGACACCTCTGTGGGTTCACGTTACAGACTTTAACAGTCTCCCTCAAGGCTCAGAGCAGGTCAATACAGTGCAAATGGTTCAAGTGGAATAGTGGGAAAACAAAGTAAAAAGAGCACAATGTACTTTTAATGAATAGAAAGTGTTTTCTGGATAATATTCTTTTATTTGTGCCAATCTGTATGAAAATTATCTTCTACTTTATTGAAAGTTTAATGCAATGTACCCAGACACCCACCACACCTTTAGGTATCGAGAACAAAGACTCAAAATAGTTCCTTTCACATCCCTGAAGTGTATTAAAGTCACTGAGCAGTTTTCTCCTCTTTAACCTTCAGATCCTTGGAACCCACAACTTTAATGTTTGAAAATACTTCTTGGTCAGGCGCTTTGAGAGATGAAGCACCCAGTTCCCACCTACAGCCAGCTGAGATCAGAAGTTGTGAGTCTGAGGGTGTCCAAATTCACAAATTCTCCTCTATGTGCGATGAGGATGGTGCTCCAAAAGCAGTTTTGTATAAATCCAGAGATCAGAACCCAGGATGCCCTCCCCAAATACAGTGTAAATTTTTACTCAGCACTTGAGTCAGCATTAATGCACTTTTTAGGTCTATTAGTGCTTCTATAAAAACCAACCAACCAACCAACCAACCAACCAACCAACCTTCTCCTGTATAGAATTTTTTTTAGTCCCATAATAACTGCCACCACCATTCAGAAGAAAAAGCCTCCTACAATGAACTGAGAAATATGCAATGGGCAACTATTAGAAATATTTAAAGTGATAGCCATTTCTAGGCTAGGTTTTTATGCCAGGCTACCGTTATCTCAGGTATTTCTTAATAAAACAACCTTCCAAAACATAAAAAAATCTCAACAAAACCTCTTTACTTTCTGTCAAGGGAAAGGACAGTGAGTCGTCCAGTGACTAGGATTTGTTCTGGCCCTACAACAATACATCTTAGAAGAGATAAAAGAACAGAAATACACATTTGAAGCTGCAGTGACACTAAGAATGTTTATCACCAATTTCAAGGAGTTTTGGTATTGTTTAGAGTTAAAAAATAATAAAAAAGAGATGATAAGTAAAAATTTAAAATAATTTTTCAATTAAAAAATTTAACTGTTTTGAAAATGAACTTTTCTAAGTATTTACCTCCCCACAAAAGGGAAGACTGGAAAAACTCTTAGGAGAATCTCAGAACAGCATCTGAAATTAGCATTTGCAAGGCTCACTTCAAGAGGAAATACTCCCTACTCTACTACTGATAATGAAAATTACAGTCAGTGGAAAAAGGGATGTAGAAGCAAAAACAGACATAATTGAAAAGAGGCTTATATTCTACTACCCGAGAAAAAGTTAAGTACCAATTTGATTCAGCACTCAAGAGACTATTGAGAAGAATTTATTTTATTTTTTTAGATTTACTCAAATCCTCTTCTATTTTCAGGTGCTGAAAAAGATATTCAAAATACAAACAAAATTTTAAGTATCATAAGTTACAAGGGTATCATAATGTAACACAATCTGATGTCTTTAAACATGAATTTTCTTCTTAGTGTTAAGACCCTGTTTCAAACAGTAACAGCCTGTACTCAAATGCACCAAGTTTAAATCACCTCTTCTCTGAATAGCCTTAGAAAATAGAATTTTCATGGTCTGAAAAATGGTAGGTTTCAACTCTGTGAAACCAAGAAGAAAAATAAATCTAATACTTCTAATGAAAACTGTCCTGCTCACAATATTTTATGTATGTCCTTGTAATACGTGAGAAAATACATTGTAAGAGAGTTGAAACTCATTTGGTTTTTACAGAAAATAGCCCAACTCTTTCTAAAGCAGCAAACTGCAAAATGGCTAGACTTTAAAAAAGAAAAAAACAAAGCACAAACATTAAGTCAAAATAAAGTGAGTTATGCAACTCAGTACTCAGTATATTAGTTGGCAAACGTGTGAACATGAAAAATACCTGCAGTCAGAGAACCAGAACAGCCCTTCTCATGAGCTGCATCCAGCAGCACACAAAACTTAGTCCTGTACCTCAGAGAAGATGAAGGTATAAATATCCACCTCTAGTTGTAACTCTTACATAAAAGCAGTTAGGGGACATTTGCACAGTTGCCTTAGGTTGGATGTTCTTAGGGGTATTCCATTCCTATCTGCTAGAGGTGTGGCAGTTATCTTCTGTTAATTAGGCAATTTTCTTTATCTCTTCCACAACCAATCCTCCCTCTGGGGAGACATCTGCTGTTAATGGGTGACATTGAGTGTCACTGCATGATGGATAAAATTACAGCATCCCATTGTGAGAAGCTCTGCCCAGGGGGAGGAGCCAAGCATTCCTACCTGGATATAATCTGAGAGTTGGAAGACCACAAGCAGCCTTTCCCACTGGATTCCCAGAGGCAGACCAGGCCTATCTACACCACCACTGGATCTTCAG